AAAAAAATAGATGTAATCTTGAGGCACATTTTGTCAAGCAGATGTTATTGATAAAATGAATATTTAATTTTTTTTTTTGGTTGTTTTTTTAATTGTAAAATCTGTGATGAGAAAAATAAAAGACTAAATGAATATATAACAAAAATGAAAATTCTCAAATGTAAAATTAGCAGCAGCAAATGGAACCAAAATACCATTAGGTTTATTGAATTCTTAGCAGTTGCATTAATTTGCACAAAGAGGCAAGTATTTTAAACTTGTAAGAAAATCTCATACAATAATGTTTTCCTAACGTTTTCAAACTTACCACTTCAAATTATAGGCCATCTGTTATTATAATAAAAATGAATGGATGCTGAGGTCACCACTTGGTGTTGACCTGTGTCAAGTCTTATATTTACACATGTTCTACACTAGATATTGAACACTTTTACACAAATATAACATACCTTAAAATCATATATATATATATATATATATATATATATATAATATAAAGAAAATGGGAAAATAACAGTAATCAAGAAAAATAAGATAAAATGTTTCCAAATCTGAGATTAAAAAAAAGAACATTGAATTTTTGATTTGCTTTTCTTGCCGACTACAAAAAAAAAATTTGCTCAAAATTCTGGCATGAGGCTAACAATATACAGGTAGATAATTTGTTTTCAGTGTTCAAACTTTATCCAGCACTTTGATAAAGTATTAAAAGCACCCTACCTTCCCAAAAATGGTTAAAATTTTGCAGACAGTTTTGTATTTATTCAAAATGTGATGCTGTCAAGAATTATATAATTCTGTTCAAAAGTTTGCAAAATACAACAGTATACGAATTTATCAACACAAAGAAATATTTAGTTTTATAGGAACCATAACAGTATATAAAATAATATTTAAATGGAACTGTCATTATTTAAAAAAAACAAAAAAACATCCTTGCTATATTTACAGCATCTCCAAATAGTAATTGATATTTGATGTAAGAAACAATATAATATTGTAAAATATACTAATGTTAGAAACTAAAATGGTACATAAAATGTCATTTCATAACTATTCGAATCAATAATTGATAAACAAGCTATTAGAATATCAGTATTGACATGACCGCTGATTTTAAGTTAGTGTGGCTAATGAATGCATTTACAGTTCCGAGATATTGGATAGAATTGTGTCTTCTTGATTCCTCAGTGACATCAAAATAAAATTAATTATGAACACTGCACAAGTGTTTTAAAATTTGTACAGTAGATAGTTTAAAATGTCAAGGTTTGCATTAATAATTTTAATACTTATTTTTTTTAAAAACTCTTAACACACCAAACAGTTACCTCCCCTAAAACGTGAGTTAAGCCATCACATACCCACTCAGCATTCTTCACTTCACAAGTAAAATTTTAACTTTTAAATGAACACAGTTTGAAAATGTTAAACACTACAATATTTGTCTTGAAATAAACACCATGACAGTGAGCTATGTCAAAAGTACTCTGAATAAAATAATATATATCAACAGGGTGATTTTCTCTCTTCCTTTAATGACACTGAAAAGCTTGTCTGTGAATATGAAAGGATCCAATTGAAAATAAGTAGATAAAACTTGTCTAAATTATTCAATGAAACATGATCTATCGAGATATATATATAACACACACACACACACAAAGAGAGAGAGAACTATCTTATTTTTTTCCAGAGAACTGGCTTTGATGAAAGCACTAAATAGGATTTTCAGTGTGAGCAATATATATAATTGTTTCTATAGAAAGAAGGAAGGGTGAGAATTTTTTTTTTCTTCTCCAGAAAGTTAAAGAAATTAATCAGATACAAAGCCAGTGAAATATTGGTCCACAAAACTGTTCAGTCATTGAATTCATGATGACCAACAGAACAATTACTACAGTGTAACCTGGATATAAGAGAGTTGTCGGGACTGGAGAAGAAGTGTCTTATATCCGGGTTTGGTCTATTTTATATACATTAACACAGGCTCTAATTTGGGACCAGAGAAAATCTCTCTTATATCCGGGTTACACTGTACTTTGAAAACCCCTTGTGGGCTATATTACATGAAGGCCTGTTCTTAAATAATCCTACCTACTTCTTAGATTTTTGCACCCTTCCACCACTTATTAGATTAAAAAAAATTTCTAATCCCCTTACCCACTTTTATTCAAGCCCTGAGAGTATATGTATATATTACCACTTTATTTTTCTTTACATGTTGATTGGACACAAATCCTATCTCTTCAAGATGTGGACAATCATTGTTCTCCAATTTGTTTTTCTTTATGTGGTAGGTTTTCTCTTTTATGATTTGTGAATTACTCAGTAATTCAGAAATTAAAATTCTGGATAAAATTGTATTCTCAATTTTTTCCCTTATATCAGTCTTTTATATTAGTAATACCTTCAATAAGGGAAATTAATTGAAAATGAATTTATTAGGTTGGTGCAAAAATAATGACGTAATAATTTTGTTTTTTGACGTTAAAAAATACGTCAAAAAACGACATTATTATGTCATTTTTGCACCAACCTAATATATTGAAATAAGTCCTTTCAAAATTCTCACTTTTTTTTTTTTTTTTATTTATTTATTTATTTTTTCACTTATTTTCATTTTGTCATTTATTTTTATACAGTGCTGTTCGATAAAAGTGACTCACCTTATCCTTTGAATTTAGCTCAACTTTCGTTTCATTCTTCCAGTCTTCTATGGTGAAATTTTTGTAATAGTGAGCCAATTCAAGTTTGTTGGCTTTGCTTATTAGTAGCTTAAACCTTTGTGTACAAGATTTGTAGCCTTGTTCTAACAGCCACCGACGGACTGTTGAAGAGGCAAGACTAACACCTTACTCTTTGCTTAGACTGGCTGCAATTTCTTGGCTAGTTATAGTCCTATTCTTCGCAACTTCTCTCTTGATTACCCTGCCAGTTCTATCATCAATCTTTCTTTTGTCCCCTTGTTTCCCTTCTTGGAGCAGGAGTAGCATCATTATGTGCCCTAAGCACTCAAGAGACAGTTGATTGTAAGGTTATAGCAATCTCTGCAATTTCTCTTGTCGACTTGCCTGCTTTGAGAGGGCAATAATAGATGCCTTAAGTGGTTCTGATGCGTGTTTGTACCCTTTCATCTGGTTAGTGACTTGAGTGGCTATTTCAAGCTGTTTTTATACTGTATGAGGCTTTCTGGAATATTCTGGAATACTCTAGATTTAATTTAAGCTGTTCTAGAATTCTCTAGAATATTGTTCTGAGTGTATTATAAAATAGTTTTCAATATTTTGTCAAAAAGCTCTTTAAATTTACCAGTTTAATCATTAGAATGCGATATCTGAGTCACTTTTTTTGCACAGAGTTTTTTTTCCTGAATCTCATTTATATCAAATTTATAATTATCAATAGAATACCTTTAGGGTGAATAAACTTTTTTCCTAGGTGGTCGGGAAGGGTCTTTATATTAGTAAGATTAAAAATTATTTTAACCCCAAAAACAATAGACAAAAAATATTTTTAGTAAAAAAAAAAAAAAAAAAAAAAAAAAAAAAAATCAGGTGAGTCACTTTTATCCAACAGCACTGTATCTATCATGTAAAAGGATTAAATAAAGTTTGGTATCCTTTACTCTTCCGATAACAAAAGCAAAAATCTTTTTCTTAAATATTCATATTTCCAAACATTCATTCTTTTGCATTTGGCTCTGTTGTTTTATTATAACTGAGAGGTGAAACTAAAAACTAAAGAACAATATTAAATGCATATGACAAAAGGACAAGCATTTATTACAATAATAACCAAAAATCATAATCCTCAATATTGCCTATATAAGTTATAAATAAAGTACATTTGCTAAATTATTTTAGGTTTTGCAAAGCTGAAAGGCATTTGTATGAGAAAATAAATTGAATTTGAAAAGCATTGTTACCAACTTAAATAAAACTACAATCTTAAACCCTAAAGAGAGCTTTATGCTTTTTTGTTTTTTAAAATTTTTTACTCTTAATTTTTTACTTTTTAGAACAACAATTCTTCATTACTTCTCATCCACTTTATGTATGGAACCAAGAATAAATTGAAATGTAAAAGTAATTTGAAGGAGATACTAACATTATAAAGATTTTGTAAGAGAGGGAAAAAAATTGTTTTGGTTTCTTTATGAAATAATCTGCATTCAATTTTTGGCATAAAAATCAAAAAGTACAAAAATATTTCAAATAAATATAAAAAAAATATATTGAACTATGATCAATTTGTGTCACTATAAAAATATTTGAAAAATTTAACTGTCAGTGATTAAAAAAAATTATTCAAAGCAATGAAGAAAAAACAACCCAAAAAAACACAAAAATCAACACAAAAAAAAAAAAAAAACAACACAAAAACAAAATAAAAAAAATATTACTGCAAAGTGGTAATATATAAATATGAATAACAAAAAAAAAAAAAAAAAAAAAAAAAAAAACTAAACAAGTTTACTGATCCCCTCTCTGCTTTTTTGTTAATCAAATTTTAATATTACCATTTTATGGTAAGGTTTTTCTGCATTTTTTGCCAACTTTTGTTTTAATATGATGGTTCTTATAATGTTTTAATTAGAGGTAAAAAAAATTAAATTAGAAACTAGACTAAAGGAAAAAAAAAAGACTGAATTTCAAATAAAATTTTCAGTTGACTATTTAAAGAATTATAAAAATTTAAAATTAGATAAAGTTAAGTGATATATTCATTAAAATATCAGACCTTAGGGTGAATTCAATGAAATGATGTGAAACCCGTTTCTTTTCCTTTTTTAATATTCAATAACATTCTAACACATTTGTTCTTTTCCTACCACTCATTTTGCTCAAAGTTTGTTTAATTTAAAAAAAAAAAAAATTTCCTATGAATAAACTTATACCTACACAGGGGTGGATAAAAAAAAAAAAAAATGTATTCGTATAAAAAAAAAATGCTATTTCCTGTATAATTTTTCCTTTTCTTTTTAAATGAAATAAAAT